CTTCTGGGTTTGATAATTTGCACTGAAAAGTCAGCTGTAATCCTGTTGGGTTTTCCTTTGTATGTGGCTTGTTTTCTTTTGCAGCTTTCAGTATTCTCTCTTTGTTCAGTATATTTAATGTTTTTACTATGATATGCCATGGGGCGTTTCTTTGACCTCATGTTTAGTTGTTCTATGTGCTTCTTATACTTGTGTAGGTATGTCTTTCCATAATTTTGAGAAAATTTAATCCTGAATCCTGTTGAAGATGTGGGAATGACCATTTACCTGGGATTCTTCTCCTCCTTATAACCCTATACTGCATAAATTTGGTCTTTTCATGGTGTCCCACATTTCCTGCATATTTTGTTCTTTTTTTTTTTTTTTCATTTTTCATGATCTTTGCTTGAGCAGTCCGTTTCTTCAACTTTGTGGTCCAATCTTGATATTCTGTTTTCCCTTTCATTCCTTCTATTGGTGAGACTTTTTTCCTGTCATTTCAAATTGGCCTATTGAGTTTTTCACTTCCTTCTTCATTTCAGCCTGAGTTTTCTTCACTATTTCTATCATTTTTTTTTTAATTCAGTCAAGTTTATCCCTATCTTCTTTTAGTTCTTTGTGTGTTCTTTAAATTTGTTGAATTCTTTGATAATGGTTGTGATTGTTCTTTCAAATACTGTGTCCTGGGTTACCTCTAGGGGCTTCTCATTGTAGACCTCTTTGTACGACTGGCACTTTTGGTGGGATATATTATTTAGCTTTTCACATTATTTCATATTATTTTTTCTTTTGTTGCTTGTGATTCTGGCATGAAACTCAAGTATTCTTTTGTGGAGTTGAAGTTTGATTCTGTTTGTATTATTGATGTAACTTGGTTGCTTTCTGATTGGGTTTGAAACGTTGGTTGGTCTAAGCTTCAGCTTCTTTCTTTTGATTTCATATTGGAGGGACTAGATGGTTCCAATCAGGCTACACAGGAGCTCCCCAGGAGGGAAAAGGGGCCCTAGCTAGTTAGGAACGCTTCTGAAACTTCAGATGGATAGTGCCAAGGTCCAAGTAAAGGAAATGGGAGATGGATGTGCTGGTCCCTGCTATTCAGTAGAGAAGCCTAAGCCCTGGTACAGTGGGAGCAACTGTAGATGGTCCCAAAGCAGGGCATGCACATGTGGATTTAGCAAGCTTGCCTGGAGGCAGAGTCAGGTGCTCTCAGGCAGTCTTGAAAGACCTGGGCTGAGCTCAACCTTTGAAGAGTTTAGGTACTTAAACTGTACTCATATCCATATTGCGTATTAACTGCCTAATCCATTCATTTAGTATCATTCCTTTCTCCCTTATTCTTGCTAAATCGGTGTGCTTTTGGAAAGGATGTATTTTGATAGACCTTTTGAAATTGTGATGTGACTCATAGTCGTTAGTGGACAATTCTTAAAGGCCTAATAGGCTGTCTGGGGCTAGGAACTAATTCTTCTTAGGTGAAGAAAATAGTATTACAATTTTTGCAGCAATTTTACAAGTAAGTCATAATATTTTCCAGTTTAAAAAAAGCCAAATAGTATTTAATTTGGAAAAATTAACCAATTATACTATATTTGTGAACAGGTAGATGCTAAGAATGAAAACATTTCCTTAGAGAAATGCAGTGATTTAATATCTTCATGGCCCCATTAAAATAATTATTCTTAAACTGTGCTTCTATTATATTTTGTGTAATTCAGCATAAACAGCCAAGGGATTCTTCAGTCTTCATACCTGCTTTTAGCTGTTCTCCCTCAGGCAGTGATTCATCATCTTAGGGCCAACTTTTGAATTGAAAGTTGAGTTCATACAGTGTTGCTTAGGTAAACAAACTGTCTGTAGTCTGTCTACACAGCATTGCTAATGGCTAATGAGAAATATGCATGCATAGTAAACAATATTAACAAATGAAGTAACAATTTTGAATTTTTAACTGTACTTTTCACTAGGTTTGTATATTTAAATATACTGTTATCAGCTTTAGCAAAAAACTTAATAGAATTTGAAGACAGTTGTACCGTAAAATGAAGTCCAGTTTGATCTTCGTTCTACTGGGTCCTTTACAGACTTGCACTAAGTTTTGTGAAATGCGTATATATGCCAATACAATTAAACTGTAAGAGAATCTAATGTCAAGTAGAATTTTTCTTAGAATCTGAAAAATAGCTTCTTTGGAGTATTAAATAAGACAAATATCTATTTAATGTGAATTAAATTTTCCATTAACCAACAGAGAAAGCTTGTGGAGTATAAAATGTTCACAAGTATTTTTATTACTTGTCATGGAAATTGAACTTAGGTATGTTTATTTTTGCCATTTTTAACAGTTTGCTTTTACATTTGACCATAATCATGTGAAATACTGTTTCTAAGAAACATGAAAAGTAATTTAGGTCGTTCCTTTAATTTTATTTTTGAGACAGAGTCTCCCTATAGCCAGGGAAGTTGCTGTGTAGACCGGGCTGGCAACAATCTCACAGAAATCCACCTGCCTCTGCCTCTCCTGTGCTGTAATTAAAGGCATTCACCACCATGCGCAGCTCTTGATCATTACTTCTTAAATGTGATTCAAAAATATATTTAAATGCCTTCATAACCCCAAAGAAAACTTTTATTTAAACTTTACTGGTCACAGTTATCAGAATACTAATTTGAGTTAATCATACTAATTTTGGTGCTGCCTTTTGAAATTTGAAGTCCCTCTCTTTAATGATAATCATGATTTCAAAATTACTTCTTAGGGTTAAACAATGATATATTTCTTTCACAAATACTGAAAAGCATTGGTTGATGTGTTAACCTTCTTTCATCGCAGGGAACAATGCCTCCATAAATGTAGAGGTAGACCCCAGGCACCCCACCATGCTTCCTGAGCTGTGTTTTCTGGGAGCTGACCACGGTGAGATCCTAGAATTAACATGTATAATAGATTCATAAAATCCTTGACTGTCACTGTTAAGTGTTCCAAAATATTAGTATTATAATTACTTTAAATAAATTTCACATTCTGAAATGTATACTTTTAACTTTAAAAAAGGGACTTAGACCCCAGGCACCCCACCATGCTTCCTGAGCTGTGTTTTCTGGGAGCTGACCACGGTGAGATCCTAGAATTAACATGTATAATAGATTCATAAAATCCTTGACTGTCACTGTTAAGTGTTCCAAAATATTAGTATTATGATTACTTTAAATAAATTTCACATTCTGAAATGTATAATTTTAACTTAAAAAAAGGGACTTAGGCTGGGCGTGGTGGCGCACACCTTTAATCCCAGCACTCGGGAGGCAGGGGTAGGCAGATCTCTCTGAGTTTGAGGCCAGCCTGGACTACATAGTGAGTTCCAGGACAGCTGGAGCTACAGGGAGACCCTGTCTCAAAAAGACAAAAAAAAAGGGGGGGGGGGACTTAGATTTTAATCCAAATAGCTAAACAAATACTGTAGCAGATGTGACTTTGCAAAATAAGAACAACAAAGCCTAAATTTTAAATTTTTTTCTTTTTTTAAAAAAAATATCTGAAGGATCCAGAAAATAGTCTGTTACAAAATTTGAAAGACGTTTTAGAAATTGATTTTCCAGCTCGTACCATCCTGGAAAAATATGTAAGTTTATCATTAATTTAATAGTTGACATGACACACATAATAGAACTTAAGTGCTTCTCTCTGAAAAAATGAGAGCTGATAAAGAGGAATATTTGGAAGAAGGCTGTAACAAAGACCTCTGAGTTACTCATAACATTTGCATCAAAGAGCTAGCTAACCTTCGATAGGGGGTTTTAGGTGCGCTTTGTTCATGACTCAGCAGCAAAGTGATTAATGGCAGGTATCCTTACTATAAACACAAAGAAAAGAGGAGACGCTAGTGAGCTGTTTGGTTTTCCTGTAATATCTGCTCATGGATGACTGAAATAAAGTTTGAATTAGCTTGCTACAAGTTTGTGAAGATGGCAGTACAGTTCTTCAAAACGGAACAGAAACCACCTTACTGTAAAGATAATAAAACACTAGTTTTCGACAAAGCTGCTAAGCTTGGAGAACACTAAGTGGTGGTGACATTTTTCTTCTTCCTCGTTTTAGAATTGTAGAATTTAGCAATTACTCGCTAATGTTAGCTCTGTTTTTATGTACTTACTACACACACACTATGATTGTGTACACGGAAAAGTTGCTAAAACTCAAAAGCCTTGCCAGGCAAAAATGCAACCTATCTCTGTGTGTTTGAATGAAAAGGGATCATGTGTGCCAGAGACAGATGTTATATTTCTATGATACAGCAACATACTTTATAAAAAGTTTAAGATTTAATATTAGACCACATTCATTCATCCTAATCTTACCATATATGCTTCAAATAAATGCTTCCGGATCTCTTTATGTTTTCCTTTAAAGGACTTTAATATGGACTGTGGAATCTGTTATGCCTATCAGCTTGATGGCTCCACGCCTGATCAAGTGTGCAACAATTCCCTCTGTGCACAGCCTTTCCATCAAATATGCTTATATGAGGTAAAACGAAAATTTGAACCTTTTTTTTTTTTAGCTAGCACAGCATAGGAAGCATGTTTAAAGTAGTACAGCATCTAAAATCTGACCTCTCAAGTGCTCCCTCTCTTGCCATGACCTCTTAGTTAACTCTGTATGTGCATGTGCTTCATTTCTTCATCTTGTATACTAGTGTGCATCCCAGAGCATCCAGGAAGGGGAGGAAAATCTATTCAGAACACGCCTATCAGCTAGCTTACTGACACTAGCAATTTAAGTTGGTGGTACCTTGAAATTTCCCCTAAATCTGTTACTCTGTGCACACTCGCTAGATTCATTCAGCTGAGGATGATGGCAGCAGTGGAGTGCCAGGGGATTAATGTAGCCATAGTACTTTGCACGTAAGTGTAGAATAAACACAGTGATTCCACTTTGGTGCTCAAGGAGGTTTGTGAGCATTTTATTTGCTCTTTGTTTCCTGTGTGTGAGGTCTGCCCTCATCCCTTTCTGTAGACATTTCATCTCTACAGTGTTCCTTCTTGAGCACCGCTGAAATGATTAACTGTGTCTAGACGCAAGCAGCTGCAGTGCTATAGTGCCTTCGGTTGCCAGTCTTTCTTAACACTGTCTCTTGCTATTAGAGATTGCAGTTTGTGCTGTTTAGCCTTCACTAATGAAGAACTTAGGGACAGTTATTTTACATTGTATAGTCCTAAAATGCCAGGTCCCCTTGGGGAACTGTAAGGGAATGTGTACTTTCCTTTGTGATAGTGAATATTCATTTTAATTATTATTTATTTTTTTGGTCTTTTTGAGATAGGCAGGGTCTCCCTGTAGCCCCAGCTGTCCTGGAACTCACTATGT